TTGGATCTGCTAGAGTAACAGAAAAACAATCTACTCTGTCTTTCACCTATGATGTCTTGTGCTAACCTATCCTTGTGCTAGTCTATCCTTGTGAAATTCAAGTGTCTTATAGGGCAATTCCAGTGTTCTCTTGGGGAACATTGTTGTTTTAAAAACATCAGATTTAGGTTATGTACTACTTTGTTGCAGGGAACATTGGGAACAGAACAGAGAGACAGAACTATGCAATGCTGCAATCTCCACTTAATTTTTGTTCAGGCTTCACCCACTCACCTTCCAATTCCCAGATTTACTTTTCTGGCAAATTAGTGACACATTATCAGAGAAAAGATTATAACCTGCACTTTCAAACAAAGGCTCCTCTGCATAATTCTGGAGTGCTTTGTTTGTGCATAAAGGATTTATTACACTCCCTCTGCCCACAGAAGGCAGTTGGCCATTACAGGATAGTGCACCTCTCTGCAGAATAATCAGCATGTTGTGTGGATTACTTTGGCACAAACTGCACCCCAGAACTTTAAAACTGTTAAAATAACCTAAAAAGAACAAAATGAATAAATGCAAAGGAGGAGGAGGATCAGGAGAAGGAGACATGAACTGGATGCTCGGAAACATTTTATTTAAGCATCACTAAACTCTCTCAGAAGAAATCTACTGGGTTTGCTGTTGGTCATGTGGCCCCCAGATGTTTTGGATCTTCATTCCCACCAGCCTCTGCCAGCATGGTCAATGATTCATCCACATCTGGGGTTTCCTCACCCTCACAAGCTTAGATGCTGTTATGCATACAGTCAGTCTTCCACATTCACTGGGGGTAGGGGCACAAGATCCCCACGAAAAAACATGCTATTTTTTAAACTCGAGAGAGTACTTTTCTAGGAATTTCTAGGTCCTCCAGCATAATTCCTTAGAATGGCATTGTAGGACATAACTGTTCATAGAGATAACATTTTCATCAAATCCATGAATAATCAAATCCACATATGTAGAGGGCCAACTATAGTTTCCTATATTAATCTTTCTTATTCTCTCATTACCTGAATGCTTTTTACTTTAACTCTCAGCAGTCCCAACCAACACAGTCAGTGGTCAGAAATTCTGTGGACTGAAGTCTCAAACACCTTGAAGACCAAAGACTGAGGAACATTATTCTGCATCTCTTCTTCATATTGTAATGATCAGATGAAAAATCTCATTGTTCAGGCTGCTCTTTCTCCATACTTTATTTTGATAAACAGGCTCATTTCCATGATCATTGCCCCATGATAAGAATTTCCTTTTACATTCCAAGAGACATTATTATCATTTTGTGTCAAAAGCATTGCATTAATAAGTATAACAGTGATAAAAAAATAGAGGGAACACAAGCAGTTAAATAATTTTTGACCAAAAATGAGCAACGGCGACCTGATTGTCTGTAGCTTTAAACAATTATTCCTTTGTGCATGAAGGTTGCATTCTGGGCACCACAATTCAAGAGAGATATTGACAAGCTGGAATGTGTCCAGAGGAGGGCGACTAAAATGATCAAGGGTCTGGAGAACAAGCCCTGTGAGGAGCAGCTTAAGGAGCTGGGCATGTTTAGCCTGAAGAAGAGAAGGCTGAGAGGAGATATGATAGCCATGTATAAATATGTGAGAGGAAGCCACAGGGAGGAGGGAGCAAGCTTGTTTTCTGCTTCCCTGGAGACTAAGATGCAGAATAATGGCTTCAAACTACAAGAAAGGAGATTCCATCTGAACATGAGGAAGAACTTCCTGACTGTGAGAGCCGTTCAGCAGTGGAACTCTCTGCCCCGGAGTGTGGTGGAGGCTCCTTCTTTGGAAGCTTTTAAACAGAGGCTGGATGGCCATCTGTCGGGTGATTTGAATGCAATATTCCTGCTTCTTGGCAGGGGGTTGGACTGGATGGCCCATGAGGTCTCTTCCAACTCTTTGATTCTATGATTCTAGGAGTTTTTTCTGCTCCACAGTTGCACAAGGTGGAGGATTCTTCCAGGTAGTGCCATTTTGCCAGCTTTATTTATTTATTTATTTATTTATTTATGTATTACACCATTTCTACCCTGCCTTTCTCCACCCCAGAGGGGACTCAAGGTGGCTTTACAACAAAGGTTGTCTTTTGATCTGCTCACTCCTCTTCTGAGTCTGTTCAGGGACTTTCAAGTTGCCCATTCTTGCTTTGTCCCTGGAGGCAGATCCTTGTGGGGGTCTCCACAAATGAATGAACACCAAAGGCCTTTATCAAGACCATTGCTAACAATTATGTCTATTAATATAGAAGGTTTGTAACTTGCTAACGAAGAGTTACTGGTCAAAACGTCTGAGGACATTTTGTGGGACATTTTATGTACAGAGGAAACACACAGAGACATCACAATGAGAAGACCAAAAATCCTTGGAATGCAACTGGCAGTGGAACGACCTCACAGACAATATGGTAGTGCCATTTTTGTATGATCTGGTTTAGCAATCTCTGCAACCCCTCTCACAGAAATTAACAACATTGGAATCTTATCTGTGGAACTTGATATTAACAGTGTATCATCACTCTATAAACCACCTGGGGCTGATTTCCAAGAGACAATATTAAAAGAAAACAGCGAAGAAGTTGAAATTAGATATTTAGAAACAATATAGTGGAGTTATGCATCTTCTGACCCTTTTTATCATCATCATCATCATCATCATCATCATTATCATCCTGGCAACTCAGAAGTGACTTTGAGGATCTGTCTTAACTTCAGCATCTGATTTCTTTCAAACCTCAAGGCTTTAGGCTATCTTGAGACATATATTAATGTTCATAAAGAAAAATAACTGATACTGTCTAATGAGTTTTGCTTTTGTTTTTGTATACAAAAGGTATGGGAACTTATTGTAAACTCACTGAACTGGGGTGTATAATTTCCCCTTTTAAGCCACATATTTATTTTTGGACCGGGGTAAAATATCCATAGTGATAAAATTATAAACTGATACATTCACTGATATTCCACTGATATTCATCTTCTAGATGAAATGTATTTCAACCACAATGGTAGAGTGGGATCTAGACAGTATATAGTTAAGATCTTGCCTCTGTCATGAAACTATTTAGCTGGCCGGAAACTAATTATTTTCCTTGTACTGCAACCTGCAATATGTGGATAAAGAAGACTTTTTCCATTGAAAGAAGAGAACCTTTGGATTGAAACAGACATATTGAACAGAATTGTTGTACTAAATGCCAACAGCTGAAGTTAGGAACATTTAAAAAAACTTCATAAATGAAAAACTATGCATCATATGTATGACAAAGTAAAAGCACATTGAATAAAATGGTATTGACATTAGAAAAAAGATGTTGAAAGCAGTACACGTTTGCATATGTTTTTTTTTCTTTTTCCAGTTTGTGACCAGTTGAGACAAACATCTAATAAACATTATTGTGAAATATTTTTGTGTCCCCCAATCCTATGTAGTATAGATTAACAATGTAGTCAGTTCTGACCTTTTTAATATTTAGTTATTCAAATATTCAGCATTTGTCAAAAAGCTCTGAGATTTCTGGAACTGGATGTTTAATGTAACAGTTGTACGTGGGTAGAGATAAGCAATTAGTAATGATAGTCATCTTGCAGCAAATCACATAATATTGTGTGTGACCATCATTATAGTTTCACATGGCATTCATTTATCTTTAAAAAAAATGTTTCTAGTCTGTGTATTTACATAAAAGTTGTATCTGAAATAATTTCTCTTGTAAATTTAGGGTTTGTTAAAATGTTAACTGTCCTGAAAGGATAGCAGACCTATCTGTAAACTAAGGTCCTATTTACTGATATGGCTGAGTACCATTTTTTAGTGATTCCAACGACAGACTTGAAATTCACATCTGAATTTTACTGGTTAGTTCCAGACTATACAATGGCTGTTTGATCTGGAGGGAGATCTGTGCTCAGGCAATTGTACAGCCTGGCAGACCCAAAGCATAAGGAGGTACCAGATATCTCCTTATACAGTGTTGGAAACATGTTTATACTACCCTTGTTAGTAGAAAACACCAAGAGGACTGTATCCAGTCTGGAGTTTCAGATATATGAGTTGCAATGCTAAAGGGTTCTGGGCCATTAGGTAAGATGTAAAGCACAGCTTTCCAAACATTTCATGTTGGTGACACACCATTTTTATTCATGGATCACTTTGGGACACAGTAAATCATTTTTACTAGCAAGCAGAAGTCAAACTCACCCCTTATAAGAGGTACAGAGAGGTACAGACACATGCATAAGTTGTAAGAACAAAATGTGGCTACAACAGATCTCATAAAAAACTTCCATTTATTTTTTAAAAGATAGGATTTATTGCTTATTTCACATAGGTCCAGAAGTTTCCCATTACATTTGTGCTATATACCTACACACTACAGCCAACACACTAAGGTGTCATGACACAGTTTGGAAAGCTCTGCCCTAGAGCATACAATGCTATCCAGAGTGGTGGTCTTTAGACCAGTCGCAAGCCATTGGGTGCAAGCCCATGAGTAGTTTTCTGAAAAGAAAGAAAACTGTTGTAACTGATGGGCAAACATGGTTCTGTTTCACATCATATCTGCTGATCCACAACAGCAAAGGTTTAATAATCAACAACCTAATATAGCCCTAAAAGAATAGGAGAAGGGGTGAACTGCTTTGTTTTTTCAGCTTTCATTACCTGCAAGGTCTCATGAAATACATCTGTTATAATTGTTGGGAAAGTTTAAATTTTCAAATTGTATAATAGCAGGATATACCAGATAGTTAGTTTGAAGCAGCATTCAAATAATATTAATTCGGTATCCAACACTTTTGTATTGTTTGAATAAGTGGCATGCCATGCTATAATTGTTCCTGTTAAAAGATCACAACCTATGAAATATTCATGATATTGGGAAATAAATTTGAATTTTGAGATTTGTTTTTTTTTAAATGTTATGTTGCCCTAAATTCAACATTCATTTATTCTTTTTTTTTCTTGCAGAAGGAAATGACAGACAGGATATGCCACTAAGACCTGTTCATCAGTCTTGCAAGAACAAACTGTTCTGTGATTGACAAGATGATGATCCAGTGACCTGCCACAAGGAATTCAGGGAGCTTCCTGTTGTAAGAACTAAGATTTCATTTTATTGACACATATGGAAACTGTCCACATGGATTCCTTTCTTCTCCTGTCCATCACTCAGTGTTAATTCCAAACTCCTGAGGCTCACCTCCTTCCACGTTGACTGCCTCACATCTTAAAGGGGATCAGAAAATAAATGATGGAAATAGTTCAAGTGAAGGAACATTCCTGCATTAATACTTGGCAAGGAAACCAAATAATCAGCAATGACATTGTTTTGTACAGCATGGAAGTAAACGTCAAAAAAGAATTTCATTGTTTTTTAAGAATGATTGATTTTTTTTAAAAAAAAACTATGACATATTTTAACATGAATAAATGATTTCAGCTAGATAAACAGGACTATGGACTACAGAGGATTCTTGATGAAAATAACATTTTCTCAATAAAGCAGTTAATCGGAGGGGGGGGGGGAATAAAAAAAATGGAATTAACAGCAACTGTTTAGTCCGGTTTCCTCTCAACCTTCAAGACTGAACAGCTCTCTGCATATCAAGTTGTGCATCTCCAATTGCCAAAATAAAACATGTGCATTATTGCAATAAGGAGCCAGCCATTCACATTCACATTATTTAGATTATTGAGCCAGACCATATACTACTATAAAAGACACAGCCATCCTGGTCGACAGAAACTGATAGCAATGCAAGGAAGGTGATCAGCACATAGAATGCATTTATGGACAGCAAAGTAAGCAGATTTTTTTCTAGTGTAATTTTAAATTATATTTTAATTCAATCACCTGCCAATCCAGGTAAGTGAAATGGAGGCACTAGGGGGTTGAAAATAGATCCTCTACATCAGTGGTTCTCAACCTCTGGGACCCCAGGTATTTTGGCCTACAAATCCCACAAATCCCAGCCAGTTTATCAGCTGTTAGGATTTCTGGAAGTTGAAGGCGAAAACATCTGGGGACCCACAGGTTGAGAATCACCACTCTACATACAGTGTGTGGGCTATTGCTGAGCCATGGCCTCCTTTCTGTAACTCTCAGTAACCTTTTCTACTAGCTCTTAACAGCTACTTTCTTATTTTGAAATGAAGTACAGTGATTCTTATTCTTCTTCTTCTTTTTAAATGGATCTGAGCCACATACAATGACCAGTTTATTTACCCAGGGTTTTATTCTTTTTATGTCAGTATTTATATCTTGCATTGTCCTGATTTTAATTCCTGGGAAGTTATTAGGGGAGTGACAGCACTTATTTGTGAGGTGGGGAAGCCATACAGTGGGCTTCCAGATAAAGCGCTTACCTGGTAGTCTCCCTGCCTCAAACATAGAGACTGGAGTCCTGTTGGTGAACTATACCAGAGAGGATGGTTGCAGCCAGAAGGTAAAAGGCAATGGATGCAGTATCATGGTGATACTGAAGAATAGGTTGGACAGAGCCAGCAGATTATTTTTGGCTTCTTTCACAAGCACTGTGGAAGTCTAGAAAAAGTTGCAAATGCTGGCAAAAGGTCACTCAAAGGATTCTAGATGACAATGGAAGAGAATCCAGGTATCATTTGTAACCTAACATTTTGATCAGTAATACTAGAAACACTTATTTACTTTGCCTGTCTAAGCAAGAAAGTGGTGGGGGAAGGAGGGGAAAATCATGGTGAAGACAAGTTTTTAAAATATTTTTCGTGTTTGAAGTTGTCTCAACAGCTTTACTTTCTAGACTGTCACTCATTTGATTGTATTTTCATTATTTGATTGTATTTTTCTGCATGGCAGGGGTTGGACTTTATGATCCTTGTGGTCTCTTCCAATTCTATGATTCTATAGTTTTTATAATGTTATTTTGACAATTTGGACTTGATCTGGCATACGTTAGTCTCTATCATTTGGTGTAAAAGACTGCGGTTTTAAAAGTATTTGCTACCAAATTCAGATGACCAAACTGTTCTACAAAGTTTTTAGTTTGTCTCTCCCACATATATTCAGTTTCTATTAGGCATGTCTAACAGATGTGTCTTGTGCATGGTATCAGGTGCAGTGATCTCTGTATGAATAAATAAATACATCAGATTTGTCCTCTCCATGTGCCACCAAATGTCTCTTCAGTATGGTCTTTTCCATAAGGTTATAACTTATCACTGTGACAAAGCTATCTTATTTGATGGATTGTATGAATTTTCAGCTTAATAAAAACCATTTTGAAGAAAAGGAGCATAGTCTGTTTGTTTATGCTGGTGTACATTTCAGCAACTCTTGTTTCAGATAAACATCTTCTATATACAGGGAATATTGTGTACACTTCTAAAATGACACTCCTGCAGTTTATTTTATAAAAAGAAATGTATGAAAAGGGAATTGATTGTAAAAGGCTGTATTATTAGTGGTACTTTTAGGTTATTATTTTTTTCAACTGCATAACCATTGAGCATTGGATTAGAACTCTGGAGTGATCAACACAGGTGGTTTGATCTCACTTTAATATCCATGGTTCAATGCTATGGAATCATGTCATTTGTAGTTTACAATGCTTTTAGAGTCTACCAAAGATTACTGATGCCTTACCAAATTATGAATCCCAGGATTCCATAGCACTCCTCAATAGAAGTTAAAGTGGTATCAAATGACACTGATTCGACAGTGGAGATGTGCTGTTAGAGACCAGGCTTTGAATTCCCACTTGACCAAGGATTCAAGTCCACTGGTGGACTTGAGAGGTCACACACTTGCATGTCAGAGGATAGCAATAGCAAACACACTCTGCAAAAATAAAATCCACAAGTTTGCATAAGGTTGCCGTAAGTGGTCTGACAGAATGGAGCAATAACTACCAGGCAATTAATTGAAAATTTTAAAGTTACTTTAAAAATTCCCTCAAGTAATCAATTGGCCAACATTTTTTTTAAAAAGGCACACACTTAACAAGCTTACACTTGCACTCCTAATTGCTTTATATAACAATTCAGTACACATATACTTAGAGTATACTGTACTTAAAGTGAAGTGACATGATTAGGATTGTAGTATAAATCTCCCAGAGCAGATTAAAAACTCTTGAGAGTCTTTAGAACCTGATCTATAAAGCTACTGGCTACCATATCACAGTTATAAAGGGCTCTGCCCTGAATACACTAGTAAATATGACACTGTGTAATACTTTCCAGCTATTAGTGTTACACAATCATTTCTCAGATAATATATATTCTTTAAGGGGTCACAGCCTTCTATTTAACTAGTAAATATAAAGGTATCATAGGCTCTAACCTCATATCCGCTTCCTCCTTGTCTACAGTCTTATTGTATCCTCTATATACATTTTTAGTTTAATTTTACATTGAGATGTTGAATCATTGGTTGCCATTCATTAGCAAAGTTCTCTAATAGTTATCCTCTTAATAGTACAGTTATTTTATTCATTATCAGCAAATCTGTAATGTATTTTTCTCATTCTTTCCATGAAACATGAAAAGGGGGGACTTGTGCTTCTTCACAGTAAACTGTTGTTGTTAACCACTGTCAACTTTGACTTATGACAATCCTATGAATGAGAGACTTCCAAATCACCCTATCCTCAATTGCCCTACTTAGATCTTGCAGAATCAGTCAAATCATTCGTAACCAAAACCTTCCAGTTGTAATGGGATCTTTCTCATACTGTACTGCCTCCTACAGTACCAGCCATGATTGTCATGTTTTCTCATGATATGGCCAAAGTACAATAACCTCAGTTCAATCATCTTGGCTTCTTGGGAGAGTTCAGGCTCAATTTGATGTGTGGACAACTGGAAGAGCTGGATCCATGGTAATCTGGAGTCCAAACATCAAAAAGACCTTCTCCTTGTTGGTCACATGGGTGATGCTCTATTATGAATTACCAGAAGCAACATCCTCAGCAAAATGGATGAAACAGCAGTGATTACAAGAAGTCAGGGTTCTGGTGCCAATGTGTTGCTGGCCTGGCCCACCATCTAGGATGCAAAATGGCTTTTTGCAGATGTGTGTTGCATTTCTGTGATGTGCCTAAAGTAGCTTTACAACAGACTACTCTGGACTGCAACCAGTTTATTTGAGCTGGAGTAAACACAACTATTACAATTATAGAATTATAAGTGTTGGAAGAGACCACAGGGGCCATCTAATCCAACTCCCTGCCAAGCAGGAACACAGAATCAAAGCACCCCTGACAGATGGTCATCCAGTCTCTTCTGAAATGGGCTATATGTTTGATGACAATGTTTTAACTTGTTTTAACTTAATTTTTTATTTGCTGTTTTAAACTGTTGCTATTTGTATTTATATTTGTATTATATTGAGACTTTGAATTGTGACCAGTTTGTAAGTCGCCCTGGGTCCCCCCTCAGGGGTTGAGAAGGGTGGGATAGAAATATTGGAAATAAATAAAGAATACATAAATTCTTTAAAACCTCCAGAGTAGGAGACTCCACCACTCCTCCAAGGCAGCATATTCCATTGTCAAACAGCTCTTACCATCAGGAAGTTCTCCCTAACATTTAGGTGATATTTCTTTTCCTCCAATTTGAATCCACTATTTTGAGTGCTGGTCTCTGGCAGAAAACAATGTGACATCTTTTCAAATATTTAAACATGGCTACCATGTCTTCTCTTGGACTTCTTTTCTCCAGGCTTAACATACCCAGCTCCATCAGCCATTCCTCATAGGACTGGGTTTCCAAACCTGTTGAGGTCTCTGTGTACTTCCCTTTTAACTGTTGCACAGTCACAGTTTGATGCCAGAGATACATGAAGTGTCCTTTATATCTACAGAACCTTTCCTTGCCCAACAGTGACACCTAGTTTATTGTTTTAGTGACTGTAGATTGTTTATATTGTGATAACTGTGATATAGTATTTTGGCGTGCACAAAATCCTTAGACATTGACATGTCTGGATGAGGACAATCCAGGCATGACATTATAAACAAGTTAAATTACATAGCTTCTTGTCTCCATCAGTCTATCGGTTCTACATATCTAGGTCTAATCATTAATGCCAGTGAGACAAAAATGAAAAACTCTTCTGGAAAACAGTGCCTTCAAGCTAAGTAAAGACCTGCTTCTCTCACAAAGCAATTGAGATAATCTTTAGTTCCAAATTCATCCATCTAAATTGCATTCAAGTACTGTCAGACTATTGATTGGAGACCATTTTCCTTCTCACTTTCTCCGCCTTCCTGCTGAGACAATATGAAACTCTGATGAATGTTAGATCATTTTGCTTGCACCATTTATCTCCCATCTCCAGATATCATGTGGACATGAACTCCAATCTGCACTCCTAATAGGAGTCCTTTAATGAGTGCAAAAGCGTTGACAAGAAAAAGTTGTCACTTACAATGAGCAAATAATCTTCTCTGAATAACTAATTTGATTTGAGTATT